TAAATTTTCTAACCAAAAGTAACTCAGGTAATAAACTCACATATTTTGTTGTTTCCCTAGGTCACAGTCCCTCCTTGTGAGAATTTAGGATAGAACCTCAAGCTAATAAATGAAGGCAAGTGTGGAACCATTGTTTCCTGACTTTCTCTCTTGCTTTATCATTGTCTTGGACTCAGATCCTCTTGTTCAGAAATATTGCCAACTCAGTGGAAGAGCCTTCCCACATCAATCAAAATCAACACAATCTCTCTCAGACACAACAACCAGATATTCTGATCCAGGCACACTTTCAGTTGATGTTTCCTCAGAGGACTCTAGGCAATATCACAAGGATAGCTAAGGATAATTAGGAAAAAAGAGACAATAATATATGAGAAGGGTCATTGTATTAATCATATCAATCACTCAAGCAGCAAAAACACTGGAGATAGCAACAACTGGAAAACACAGATATGACAGGAAACGGGAAAAGGCAAGTGTCTAAGATCAAGAAGAGAAAACTAAAACTGACTCTCCACAGAAACTTCCCAAATCAACAAACACTCAAGGAACTCATAAGAAATTTTCTGAATACAAAATTGGTGAAGGTCCAGCATTTTCCAGAAAATGAACAATATAATTAGACTATAATTAATAAAATCAACAACATAGATGGCACCACTGACAAAGCAAGACATAAAGATATACTTAAATGGTCCCTTAAACAAGAAAGACAAGATTCTAATCAAAATCAAACTCCAAGAAATCACTGACCAGCATCCATCCTGTATACTCTGGTTCTCTTCTTTGCCAATAACAGCAAATGGGTTGAGCAAGGAGGACTATTATACCAAAACTGGAGAGATTCACTGGAGGCTTTCTGATGTTTACCTTTGTAGAACACAGTTTTGACAACTAAAAGGATCTCATTCTCTGATGATAAAGGAAAGGATGTCTGTTAGGATCACTTAGACACCATTTTGTTTCCTATGAGAGATGATTGCCTGTAAGTCTGAATTAGAATGAGCAAATGAAAACATTTCCAAAGCCAATGCAAGGTAAGAGATTTTTAAAGAATCAGTGTACACCCAAAGCAACTTGTTTTACTCTTATTGTTTTATAAGTCATGAGCACTTTTGAAAACAAGTTTATTGCTATTTTTGGCATATGTTTGTGCATGAGACTGAAGATCTTCCATTTGTATACAGGTGACATAGAAAACAAGAGGTTGTCAGATCTCCTGGATCTGGAATAGTAGATAATTATGAGTCTCCCAACCTGAGTATAGATATCTGAACTCAGATCATCCCCCAAAAGAATATGTGCTGAGCCACCTGCCGAGGCCCATAATACCTTTTATCCAATACATCAAAAGTCTTTCACAGATTAATAACAAGAACAACAACAAAATGTAAACGAATAAAGAAGTAAATAAATGATTCTGAGTAACATGATACATCAAAATTAAGATGTGTATGGTAAATTTGCACTATAAAGTGAAAACAATCTAATGACAATGCCCAACAATTTTGAACAGCAGACCTGATTACAAAGCTACATTTATAGTGGAAATACTCAGAATGCTCAATGGGAATTTGAAAGCAGAATACAATGATTGACTTAATATGACTTGTATACTTACCACAAAGTTACAACAGTCAAAATTGTGTACAAGGGATTCAATTCAATTGTGTGCTGGGATTCAAGGCGTGCACCACCAAAGACCAGCACCAATGATGGATTTTTTTAAATCATTTTTTTATTTGAATGAGAAACAAGATTGATTTACATGACAATCCAGTTCCCTTCTCCCTCCCGTCCTTCCCTACCACCCCCCCCCAATTAAAACCCTACCTATCACTAACCCTTTCTTCTATTCTTCACTTGACTCAACCTTTCTGCTCCCTCATGACCTCTGCATCCTTCCTCTTCTTCCCTTCTCCAATGAGTGATTTTTAAAAAGATAAAATAATGCATTTTAAAATAAAAACAAACTTAGCTATATTGACTGTAAAAGTATAGGTCCTTCCCTAGTAGCAGGAATGTCATTTATAAGAGATAGATTGACCCTGACTATCAACATTTATGTTGGCTGCTGAGCTCTGTAACCTGACACATAGAATTACAGTCAATGGCCTGTTTCTCTGAGCTGACATAACTGTGTCAAGAAGAATTGAACATATCTGTACAGGAGAGCTGCCTAATTGCAAATTCAATATTCATTGGCTCAAGATAATCTTCCAAACTGTACACCTACACAATCTGGTCTGTTATTATTCATATGATATGAATTAAAAATACTGGAAAAATTACAAAATCATCCCCCCAACCACAATCAAGTCCTTTTTCATAATGGTGACTCCCACAGATGATTGCCTACCCTGTTTCCCCTGTGGTGTACACAATAAGCTATTCCTCCTATTTTGGTCTGAAGGAAGAAGCCATGCTCCACACACAAATCCTTTCCCTGTGACAGCACTGGATAGTTAACTACATGACTAAAATGGACAGTTTTATCTCTGAAGTGGTACAGTCATTTAATTTGCTGATTTTGAAGGTCTATAGAGGACAGCAAGGACATTTCCCTGGAGAGCAACAGACTGGAATCAAAGAGACCTGAGTCACCATAAGACAGCTTGTTTCAGAAACATTTTTTCAAAGAGGATGGAAATGCAGCTGTTCTAGAACTAATATGCCTTCCCTGGAAGATATCACTTCATACACTTAAGAAATTAATAAAGAATAATCTCTTTAATGAGAGTATGCATCCATCTCTGGCTAATGCTCAAGGAGGTCTCAACTTAGGCAGAGTTTGCATTCCACAAATGCCATCATCCTTAAGTGTCTTTTAGGTTCATGCTCCAGGTTATATTTTGAACAAATTAAACAGAGACCGGCAACTTGCAAGTCTAGCTCCTTAGGCAGATGGGAGAGTTACAGAGCAAAGATATTCCCAGAATAAATTCTTTTTATTTATTTATTTATTTATTTATTTATTGGTTTTTTGAGACAGGGTTTCTCTGTGGCTTTGGAGCCTGTCCTGGAACTACTAGCTCTTGTAGTCCAGGCTGGTCTTGAATTCACAGAGATCCGCCTGCCTCTGCCTCCCCGGTGCTGGGATTAAAGGTGTGGGCCACCACCGCCTGGCTGAGAAAACATTAAGTAAACCAGTGACCTGAAACAGCAGGTCATTCTTCACTGACAGGATGCTGAGGTAAAGGTGGCAGGGGATAAGAAAGATAGGACAAATAAAAGGTAGAAAAGATAAATCTGGAGTGGGGAGGTCTTGCACAAGTAATGTCCCATGCCAAGTGAGCTTCTTAAGAAAATAGCATCTTAGCCAGAAGGTGGTGGCACCCACCTTTAATCCTACTGCAGCTGAGCCAGAGGGAGGCAGATCTCTGTGAGTTCAAGGCCAGCCTGGTCTAAAAGGGAGTTCTAGGATAGCCAGGGCTGCTACACAGAGAAACCCTGTCTGGAAAGAAAGAAAGAAAGAAAGAAAGAAAGAAAGAAAGAAAGAAAGAAAGAAAGGAAGGAAGGAAGGAGGAAAAAGAAACACAGCATCTTGTATACTAGTTTCAAGGATAAATGGCAAAAAATGGAGAACTTCTATGAAATGAGCAGAAACTGTCATGCAATGGGACAAACACAGGGAGGAGGCTGCACAAGGGGAACACAAGTTATTTCAAGATCATTATGGACTAAACCCCCAGTGGCCTTGGGACTAATAAACACAGCTCCATATGGTGGGGAAGGTTGTATTCTCAAGATCTGAAGTAACCCCTCCACTAAGGCCCTGGCCCTAGAACATTACCATTGCTCCCAAGCAATTCCTGGTTTTACACAAGGCTCTCTGTTTTATTGTCAATATACCAGCCCCTTAGGAAAAGCTCCCAAACCCTGGGACCCAGGATGTTACTAGCTCTCCTGAGAATGATTTTCCTCCATGCCTGAGGGCTTAAATGAAAGCCTTGAATGATTAGGTCAGCCCTTCACATAACAGTGTTTAACTTTTCAAATAGTTGTCACTTGGTGTCATATTGCCCATATGGCAGAAACTATGCTTTTCTCAAGAAGAAAACTGGAACTTTATGGCTCACCAGGCCCTAAAGTTGGTTGTGACCCTTCAATGCCTGACTCCTTAAGTAGTTTGTTAGATGCCATTTCTTTGATATCGGGCTAGAGACTGGTTATAACATAAGGGTGGCTCCTTTGTAATGGTTTGGAGCCAAATGTCTGAACAATCCTAGTGTATAAATGTCTATCCTAGCTTCCTAATCTCTGACAGGCCTGGTTAGCATATACTTGTCTTTTGGGTGTCTTAGAGGCAGTCCTCCCTCACCTTAATTTTGCTTTGTGAGACTCAATATCTCCTAAGCATTAGTAAATCCTTTATATCACCAATTCTATTTTTCTACATCACGGCATAGTGCTGGAGTGCCACACAACATATGAGATGCCTTTTACAACCTACACAAAATTGACTATAAATGACTCTTTACACATAAAGATAAAATGCAAAGTACTGACTATCTAGAAGATAATAGGGAAACTAGGCCTCTCGGATTTTGGTGACCTGCTTTCCAAGGATGCAACAAAAGCATGTTGAAGTTGACTAGAAAGATGTTGCTACACACAGCTCCCTGCTCCCAGTGCTCTGAGCAGATTCAGCCCACTAAGCAAAGTTATTCAGAGGCCTACCTCTGGGTCCAGCGAGTTTCAAGAACCACAAGGGACCTTACAGGACAGGAAATCTGGCTGCAGGTTTCCAACCACATCCGGCTAGGACCCTCCACAAGGGCTCCCGCACTTCCCCATCTGCTCCTTCCAATCCAGGAACAGCAGCTGCTCCCAGTGCTCTGAGCAGATTGAGCCCATAAGCAAAGTAATTCAGAGGCATGCCCCTGGGTCCAGGGAGTTGCACGAGCCACACCTAACAGAACCTCACAGGACAGGGAATCTGGCTGCCGGTTCCCACCCGGATCTGCCTAGGATCCACGACACCGGCCCCAGCTCCTTACCATCTGCTCCTCCCCATCTGGGGACATAAGTCCCCTGTTCACCATATCGTGGTTTCCCAGGTCGCCCAAGTTCTCTGCTCAGTTCCCCGCAGCACGGCATACAAAACTCCTGTAGCCAGTTACACTACAAAGCAGGTACTGAAGCCGGCAGCAGGAAGGACCATGCAACACTTCTGACTGGCAGGTCATCTGGAGGCCCTGATTGGCTAGTGAGGCCTGAGTGACAAGAGCACCTCCCTTAGGTTTATAGTGTGCTTAAAGACACAGCACATTATTTCCTGTCCATGCATTTCCCCAGACTCAGACCTTTTCCAGATCTGCAGAGATATGCATTTCAGTATCACTTGCCCCCGGATCCAATAGCTTACCCTGCTGTCTTCCTTCTCTCAATGGGCACCTCCCCTTCTTCCTCCTGGATACAATGTGGCTAGCTAGCTTGCACACCCCACTATATTATGTGGGGCGGGGTGATTGCTGTCACACTGGTGGATGGACTAGGAGAATATTAAAATAAAGACAGATTTTAGGACACAAAAGATATTTGTTCTGTGACCTCATGATGCATATAATTTTTAATCTACTATCCACAAGAACTACAGATAACCATGAGAGAAAAGCAGGAATCAGATCACGAACAAGATGGCAGGTCCCTCCGGAAGGCTGGGTGATGGTTCCATTGCTTTAGAATTTTATTCCTGAAATTCTTTTTCTTTTCATGGGAAATGAATAGCTTAAGTATTTTATTTGTTTGCAAGTAAGCTTGTTAACACGATTATGCCCAAGTCACAAAGACCCTCAGAGACCACCAAGGAGACAAACTCACTAACTGCAAATGCAATGCTTTATTGTTCAATCCTACCAGTAGGGACTCTGTCCAACAGCCTCTAAAGGGAGTGGCCACCCAGTTCATTACAGGAGTTTTAAACACACACACACACAAAACAGGATTACATCAGTAGGTAGGGAGAGGCATGAGTTGGTTCCTGATTGGTTGACATTTGGGGTACAAATAGGGGAATTTCTCAAAGTCATATTTTTGGCAGGGCAACTAATCTGTCAATGCTTTTGATTGGTTGGCTACAGATGTGAACACATGGTGGTTTCTATGACTTTGTCTGTTGGCCAGTTCTCATTGGTTGGTGCTGGGAGGGAGCATTCTGTGGTTTTATGGCTTTGTTCTTCTCTTGAGGTGGTCTGTTGTACATAGTTCCTAGGGACTAAGATCCTGGATTTTCTTTGTGTCTAAACATAGTTTTCAGGAACTAAGTCTCCTGGGGACTTAGAAGAAGGTTGTCTTGGAGTTTCTTTGTCTTTAGTTTTGGCCCTTCATATCTGTTTCTTACAGGTGGCCTGTTGCTCACAACACAGTCTCCAAGAACTAAGCTTCCTTGAGGCTAGGGGGAAGGATGGACTGTGTTTGTTGTGAAGGCTTGAAGCCTTTTTGAGTTTAGTTTACCCCTTTCAAACACTATAATGAAAATGTACAAAGAATTATGTTGCAGTTTTTTGGTTAGATTTAAGTCAGAGACTTTCATTAATAAGGAATCTTCCAATGTGAATACCCCAGAAATGTCCATAAATTATGGGGTCTCAACAGCTTGTGTCTGAATATCACCTTACCTTGGAAAGCATTAGCAAATATTTGAATTAAAACTCAGGAGTTTTCTGAAACAAAGCTGTAATTAATAAAACTATTCTGTATTCAAACTAAAACAATTTAAATAAAATTTTCCTCTCCAAAACAATAGTAACATAAATGAGGCTGTTTGTAAAATGTGGCCCCAAACAAGTCACAGTAAAATTAAATGTGCACATAACTCCCACCTCCTCAAAACAGAGGCTGCTTTCTGCTCACAGCCTAGGGACCAAGACAGAGAACAGCCAATATGCAACTTCAGGTAGGGGATGGCCAAATCCAAGCTCTAACACTTGAACACTGTAAGGAGCATGTAAACAGACAGGCAGGCAGAAGCCTGGTTGCAAGGAGATTAGGAAAGTGAATGTAGGCCTGACTACTACAGATAAAAATGAATGTGTGTGTGTGTGTGTGTGTGTGTGTGTGTGTGTGTGTG